TGAAAAAATTAAATCATTCTAATTTATAATAAGTTGATAAACACTTTTATAAAAAAATATAAATTATTTCAAATAAGCAATCTCAAATATCCCGACCAACTTTTCATGTGAGAAGGGAGACCTGAAGAAGTAGGGTGCTAGGGTTTTTTTTAGTAGTCCCTCTTAATTTCAAGTTTATTGTTTTTTTTTTATTTATTAAACAAATAATGATATGTAACTTCAAATAAATGACGTGGCTTTTTAAATTTCTTTGTAAGCTTTTTTTATTTATTTTTGTGCCACTTCATCAAAAGGTAACATATTACTTGTTTAACAGGTAAACAAGATCCTAAAATAAATAAAAAGTTTAGTTCAGATCTTAAAAAGATAACTTTGAAAGTTGATTCCTCAAAATAAAAATCAGACTAAAATTGATTTCATTTTAATACAGTTTTGTCTTTATTTTAAAAGAAAATTTAGCGTATTTAAATCTCCAATTTTTTTTAAAATAATATAATTATTATAAATGCTCTAAATAACGATCGAAACAAAACATCAAACGTCAAACAATGCCGTACATCGGTAACCTAATTAAAGTTGAGTAGCAATGTCTTGACTTTCTTACCTTATCGTATATATTTCACCAATTTATGTGGATGTAATAATTTTGATCATTTATGTTTAATATTATATAAAAGAATTTAAAGTATATAATTCAACAATAACTTTCACATATTTCATCATTTTTTATGAGTTTTATACCATTAATATGTCATAAAAAAGTATGCTTTACTGATAACCTAGATATTGTTTGACCAATAACCCTTTAATAATTAATATATCATTTTGATTCAATTTTAATATAAATATTTATAAAAGATTATCAGACTTTATTTATTATGATTAATTAGAAGCGTACTTGCGCAATGCAGCGAGATACATCGTGATTTTAATATTTCATTTTATTCTTTATCTCAGTCGATGTTATAATATGACTTTATGTGATTTTGAGAAAGCGATAA